AATACTGACAGCTCAACATTTCTTCTTATATACCGTTGCAAAATGATTCAATTTTCTTTTGTTTGCTTCTGCGTTGTTTTATCCTTCCCTAGTCTTATTTATTATTTGTTATTTATTTCACTCAATATATACTTCATTTAACCAAACTTCATTTTTAGGTAACTTATTTCTGTTGGCATGCAGATTCCTTAAACATGGTATTGGTGGTGGTGGTGTTTTGTTTTGTTTTGTTTTAACAAAAGTCCAGAGCACTTGTTATGCCTGTACTAGGGTTTAGAAAGTAAACCAGAATAGAAAAAGTGTAGGCTATGAAAAGTCTCTAAAGATAATAATAAACTTGCTCATTGGCTCATCCAGGTTTTTTTCTGGGCCTAAGGGTATATGCTGCTGTTATTTACATCCTAATAGGAGTCTTAAAGAATAGAGGCCTTCTCAGTAATATGCATTTTCTCAAATTCAAAAGTGTGCTATTGATTCCATATTAAATGCATTTGCATTCTCCTTTTTCCTAGTAGTAGATATATTGGATGCAGTTTCTCTAAGAAGTAGGATTTTATGTAAATCAGCATTAAAGATACTGTAAATTTTGGGGCACCTGGGTGGCCAAGTCGGTTAAGCATCTGACTCTTGACTTCAGCTCAGGTCAGGATCTCAGGATCATGAGATTGCCCCACCTCCGGCTCATACTGGGCTTGAAGCCTGCTTAAGATCCTCTCTCTCCCTCTCCCTCTGCCCCTCCCCCCCCCCCCGCCACTGCTCATGCATGTGTGTGCATGCTCTCTGTTTTAAAAATAAATAAATAAATAAACAAACTGTTCATTTTTTCAGGATATTTTGTTGCAGTTGAAAAATACATCTATTAGTAAGTATTGTAATTATGGGTTGTAGACAGAATAGTTAATTTTGAGTTATTTAGCTTATTCTTATTTTTAAAAGATTCCCTTTCCTTTTTTTAACTTTTTAATTTGAAGCAATTACAGACTCAGTTTCCTTTTAAAGCAGTTTTTTATATCTGATATATCATTAGGTTATGGTGAATGAGGTCCTTTTAAATAATGTTCATTCTGTTACTTGACAAGTTTTATTTTTCATTTATGTGAGAAACTTTTCTGGAAATAACTTTACAGCATTCTTTCCAGGATAGATATTTGTTAATATTTGTATTTGGGAATTTGAAGCAAAATGAACATTAGTTTTACCTGTGTTTACTTTTTGAAAAACTCTAATAGGTCTGGGGCGCCTGGGTGACTCAGTTGGTTAAGCGTCTGCCTTTGGCTCGGGTCATGATCCCAGGGTCCTGGGATGGAGCACCCCCATCGGGCTCCCTGCTCAGTGAGGAGCCTGCTTCTCCCTCTCCCTCTGCTGCTCCCCCTGCTTGTGCTCTCTCTCTCCTCCTCTCTCTCCCTGTCAAATAAATAAAATCTTAAAAAAACAAAAAACAACTCTAATAGGTCCATCCCTGATTCTCCCACCCCCATGTCTTATTGCTACTTTCCTCCATGCCCAGCGTGGAGCCTAACTCAGGGCTTGAATTCATGACCCTGAGATCAAGAGTCAGATGTTTAACCAAGTGAGCCACCCAGGTACCCTGCTATTTCCTTCTTTGATAGACACACTATCAAGTATTTAGTTACAAACAAATATTTTAGGAGTTGTTAGCATTTGTATAAAGGTTGTGTTAATGTTCATGTAACTTAAGGGCAAAGCAGTTATCTGGTACTAAATGAGTCAGGGTTTCTATTTTAACATATACATATGAATGCACTTATCAGTGCTGAATTAATGCCCTACTCTGGGGATTTAAAATATGTGATTGCTGTATTATATGCAAGTACCCTGTCACCATAAAATGGTGTATTATTTGACAACAATTATGTATACAATTTGGCAAAATAATTTTTTGAAAGGTAAAAACGGTTAAAGAAATATCCCACCTTAAAAGTGTTTTTCGAGTGTTAATTATTTTGTGCATAGCAGGTCTTTAGATCATATGGTACATATTTTTTTAAAATTTTATTTTATTATGTTAATCACCATACATTACATCATTAGTTTTTGATGTAGTGTTCCATGATTCATTGTTTGCATATTAAAACCCACTCAGTTGATGGTGGTAATATAATCTATGGTAAGTAATAATAGGTACATGAATGAGAGAGAACAGTATTTAAAAAGTGAAACATGTATATGCTACATAATTGATATATTTAAGAAATTTCTTGTTTAAGGAAAGGTAGCTGTTAGATAGGCAAGTTGGAGGAAGGGGGGCCACACTAAATGGTATATTGGCAAGCTTCCTGAAATGCATATGCATAGTAATTAGAGGCATATTGATTTTTAAATGTCAGCCAGCTTTTATTCTCTTCTTTCTTTAGCATCTATTTGTATGAACAGTGACTATTCTTACTTCTGAAGGGGGTTTATTAAGGTTTTTGTGAACATTTGTTATATAGGAAATAAATTACCACTGCTATATATAACTAACATTAAATTTGTGATACTGGCAATGATTTGTGAGAGATTTCATTTCTTATATGTTAACTGATGGCTAAGAAATTCTCCATTTCACAGTTGAGATTTAGAGACATTGCCTATGCTTTCTACTTATAGTTGGTGAACAAATGCCTTTAGTCATGTTTATGACCTTCAACAACATGCTAAAATGAATTACTGCAAGTATCACTTATATTCTAAACTTTAGCTTTTTGCTAACTTGGTTTAATCAGGATTGTGTTAATCGCTATTAACATTCTTTTAGTGGCCTTTAATGCTTTATAAGCCTTTAAAGAATGTCGAGGAGCAGAGGATGTTCCTGGGAGATTGACTGACTATCACCTTATTTCGTAAAGTCTAAGGTGCTTTGAAAGTGTGCTTTCTTAGTCTTCCTAGACTGAGTCAATGGAAGGTAACTACAGAACCATCTCACACCTGTCACCTGGAGACAGTGATTATAAGACATCATAGAATATCAGAGGCATTCAGTTTTCAGAGAAGTTAAAATATGAAGAAATGCATAGCCTGGAATTATTGAAGTAGGATTTTTTAAGTCACTAACTATAAATTTGAAAGGATGGTTATGATAATCTTGTGTTCTGATTTTTTATGATTAAACCAATATGAAACCCTGAGAAATTCCCATGGGATTGTTTTGAGTTTGCAGTCTTTTGTTCACTTTAAATACTACTCAGTGTTTCATTCTCAGATTCATGCAATAGAATATACAGTCATCCTTGAGATCATTTTTTTACCTGCCATGAAATGCTATTAATTTTCATTACCTAGCCTCTGAGGAGATGTATTTTGGCCTAGTTGCTTTGGGCAAGGAATATAGGCAGTTTTTTTCATATTCTTTATGTACATTAAGGTTAAGACTGGAGTTGCATTCATTTACTCACAGTGTCCATTGAGAAAAGATTTATGATAAAAGAAAAATGAGATAATCACAAGAATGTTTAATTATGTTCTTCTCATACCCTGTACCACTATACGCTCCACAAGCACAATTCTAATGATGGTGTTTCTTCATTCACATTGTTTGTTTTTAAGATTTTATTTATTTATTTGACAGAGAGAGACACACATTGAGAGAGGGAACACAAGCAGGGGGAGTGGGAGAGGGAGAAGCAGGCTTCCCGCGGAGCAGGGAGCCCGATGCGGGGCTCGATCCCAGGACTCTGGGATCATGACCTGAGCCGAAGGCAGACGCTTAATGACTGAGCCACCCAGGCGCCCCTAATTCACATTGTTTAATGCAGTCAGGAATGATAGATCTCTTTGAAGTGGGAATAGGAAGGGAAGGATGATGCAGAGAAGGTAACCATTATTATTTTTTTTACCCTCTGTATGGTTTGCTTTTTATTTTCATGTGTATTTATTTTTTATAAGAACTAAGTATATCTTACAGAAATATAACTTCATATTGCTTATAAAATAAAGATATGGCGTTTGACATTCTTCATGGTTTATTCCAAACTTCCTTGGGTTTTCATCTTCAACTAAATTATCTCTCACTATCTCTAACTGTACTTGTCTACTTTTTGTCTCAGATCTTCTGCATTTTCAGGACTTGTTTAAATTTCTCCCTTTGCCTGCCCACCCTTTAAGGCTGAACCAAATCTCATCTATTTGAACTTTTCCAGCTCCCTCGATAGCAGGTACCTCTTACTCCACTATTTTGAAGTGGCAAACCATCTATCTAGCACTTATCAGAGACCACCTTTTGGTAGTTATTTATTTATGTGTCTAGTTTTCTGGTTAGATTTTGGGACTGAGTTACTTAGGTTTGTATTATCTCCTGTAGTATAGTAGAGATGTACAATGAGTGTTTCTTGAATTGAATCCTTAAAGATTTTTAAATATATTCATGACTTCTTTTAATTTTTTCCCAGAGACAGTATGTAGTAATTTTGCTAGAATTACTAATATGTTAGACTGTTCTAAGTTCCCATTCTCAACATTTACCACTGTTTTCTGAAGTATAAGAATTATTCTTGGGGGTGCCTGGGTGGCTCAGATGGTTAAGCATCTGCCTTCGGCTCAGGTCATGATCCCAGGGTCCTGGGATCGAGCCCCACATTGGGCTCCTGGCTCATCGGGAAGCCTGCTTCTCCCTCTCCCTCTGCCTCTCTCCCTGCTCATGCTCTCTCTCTCTCTGTACCTCTGTGTCTCAAATAAATAAAAAAAATCTTAAAAAAAAATTATTCTTGAATCATTACATTGTATACTGGAAACTAATGTAACACTGTATGTTAATTATACTTGAATAAACAAACAAAAACAAAGAAGTACCCTCCTGTGATAATCTGTTTCCAAATTAGTTTAAAAAAAAATGATTATTCCTTGTCTGGTTACTATCTCATAGAGATAAAAAGACAAGAAAAATTGCAATTTTTTTCACAGTATCTATTTGTTACACAAATTTTGATGATTACACAAGCTTCTTATATAAGGAAGAGTATTTTCAAAATAATGTGTTTTTGTTTTGTTTTGTTTTTTTGTAGGTTACTTCCTCAGAATGTTGGTCTGCTCTATGTTGGAGGTTATGAAAGACCCTTTGCACAAATCAAGGTATGATTGTTCATTTTCCAGTATTTTTCTTGGGTGTAGTTCACTTCTCCGGAACCCATCAAAAACCTGCAAATAACCATCAACATATCAAAAATATTACGAATTTGAATTACTGATTTCATTTGCTTTTGCATATCCCTGCTGAAGAAGTAGTTCAGTTTTTCAGAGAATTGATCATTTTATTTATTTATTTTTTTAAAATTTTATATATGCATTTGAGAGAGAGCAAGAGTGAGCAAGAGAGAGAGCATGAGCAGGCAGGAGGGGCAGAAGGAGAGGGAGAAGCAGCTCCTTGCTGAGTAGGGAACCCGATGCGAGACTCCATCCCAGGACGCTCGGATCATGACCTGAGCCAAAGGCAGACGCTTAACCAACTGAGCCACCCAAGCGCCCGAGAATTGATTATTTTAATATTCTTGCCCATAGTAATGAGTTAAATTTGACCAAAGCACTATATAAATTTTGATATGCTTAGACCTTTGAAACCATCACCACAGTCAGTATAGTAAACATATCCATCACCCCCAAAAGTTTCCTTGTACCTCTTTGAGATTCCTCACTCCTGCCCTTCCTTTTTCCCTTCCAGTACCACTGATCTGATTTGTGTCATCATAGATTAATTCACATTTTCTAGAATTTTATATAAATGGAATTATACAGTATTTGTCCTGTCTCTCTCTCCCCCTCTCCCTCTCTCAGCCTCTTTAATACAGCGTAATTATTTTGAGATTCATCCATGTTGTTGCACTTACCAATAACTCATTATTTATAATGCTGAGGAGTACTCCCTTATATGATTATAGCACAGTTTTTTACCTTTTCACCTGTTGATGGACATTTGGGTGGTTTCTGCTTCCTGGCTACACTTGTATACAAGTCTCTGCAGAGATATATCCTTTCATTTCTCTTGGGTAAATACCTAAGTTGGCAATGGCTGGATTAAATGGCAGTTGTATGTTTAACTTTTTAAGAAACGACCAAACTATTTTCCCACCAGTAGGGTGTGAGAGTGCCAGTTCCTCCATATCCTGGTATGGCCCATCTTTTTAAGTTTAGTCACTCTTACAGTTATATAGTGGTATTTCACTGCAGGTTTATTTTGCATTTCTGTCATGCCTAATAATGTTGCGCATTTTGTCATGTACTTATTTGTCATCTGTACATCTCTAGTGAAGTGTGTGTTCAAATCTTGCCATTTTTTAGATTGGGTTTTTGTGTTTTTACTGTTGAGTTATGAGCATTCTTATATCTTCTGGATATAAGTCCTCTATCAGATATGTGATTTTCAGCTTCCCCCCCGCTCTCCACCCCAACTATGGCTTCTCTTTTCCTTTCCTAACAGGGTCCTCAAAGAGTGGAAGTTCTTAATGTTGATGTTCAGTTTATTAGTTTTTTACCATGGCTCATGCTTTTGGTATTGATCTAAGAAATGTTTGCCTAACCAAAGTCACAGAGATTTTTCTTCTTTGTAGTGTAGAATCTTTATAGTTTTAGGTTTTACATTTTGATTTAGTATCTATTTGAGTTAATTTTTGCATATGATTCAAAATTCAAGGTATAGAGGAATGCTGAGCCCCCTGCCTTTTTGGCACATAGATATCATAGATACTTTGACACATACATACTTGTTGTAAAACCATTTTTAATTTAATTTAATTTAATTTATTTTTTTAATTTTGAAAATATGGAATGCTTCACAAATTTGCTTCACGAGTTTGCATGTTGTCCTTGAGCAGGGGCCATGCTAATCTTCTCTGTGTCATTCCAATTTTAGTATATGTGCTGCTGTAGTGAGCACCAAAACCATGTTTTAGAAACTACCCTTTCGACCATTGAATTGCCTTTGTATCTTTGTTGAAAATCAATTGACTATATATGTGTGAATCTATTTCTGGACTGTTCTATTCCATTTATCTGTATGTCTATCCCTCCACCAATACCACAATATCTTGATTATTGTATCTTTTTTTTTTTTTTAAAGATTTTATTTATTTATTTCAGAGAGAGAGAATGAGAGAGAGCACATGAGAGGGGGGAGGGGCAGAGGGAGAAGCAGACTCCCCGCCGAGCAGGGAGCCCGATGCGGGACTCAATCCCGGGACTCCAGGATCATGACCTGAGCCGAAGGCAGTCGCTTAACCAACTGAGCCACCCAGGCGCCCCCATTATTGTATCTTTATAATAATAAGTCATGGAGACAGATAGGTAAATCCTCCAACTTTGTTCTTTTTCAAAGTTGTTTTGGCTAATTAGGTTTCTTTAATTTTCATACACATTTTAGAATCATCATGTCAATTTCTCTAAAAATGCCCACTGGAATTTTGACTTGGATCATGTTGAATCTATAGATCAATTTGAGGAGAAATGACATCTTAACAATACTGAATCTTTTAATTCATGATGACCACATATTTCTCGATTTATTTAGATTTTAATATCAACAATATTTTGATTCAGTATATTGGCCTTGTACATTTTTAATAGATTTATCCATAAATATTTTATATTTGGGATGTTATAAAAGTATTTTTTAACATTTTTATGAAGACTTTTTTTGCATAATTTCTGTATAAATAAATATAGGAAAAAGGTTTTAAGTGAAATATAATTAACATACAGTAGTATATTAGTTTCAGGTGTACAATATAATGATTCACCTTTGCTGTACATTACTCAGTGCTTATCAAAATAAGTGTACTCTTAGTCCCCTTTATCTATCTCACTAATTCGTCCCCTAACCCACCTCCCCTCTGGCAACCACCAGTTCTCTGGATTTAAGAGTCTCGGTTTTTTGTTTGTTTCTTTTTTTTATTCATTTGTTTCTTAAATTCCATTATATGAATGAAATCATATGGTATTTGTCTTTCTCTGACTTATTTCACTTAGCATAATGCCCTCTAGGTCCATCTATGTTGTTGCAGATGGCAAGATCTCATTCATTTTATGGCTGAGTAATATTTCAGTCTGTGGGGGGGTGTGTGTGTGTATATCACATTTTCTTTATCCATTTATCTTTTGATGGGCACTTAGGTTGCTTTCATATCTTGGCTATTGTAAATAATGCTGCAGTAAACATAGGGGTGCATATATCTTTTTGAATGAGTATTTTTGTTTTCTTTGGGTAGATATCCAGTAGTGTAATTATTGGATCATATGGTAATAATATCTTTAAATTTTTGAGGAACTTCCACACTGTTTTCCATAGTGGCTGCATCAATTCACATTTTCACCAGCAGTGCAAGAGGGTTCCCTTTTCTCTACACCCTCACCAACACTTGTTATTTCTTGTCTTTTTAAGTCTAGTCATTCTGACAGGCGTAAGGTGGTCTCTCACTGCAGTTTTGATTTGCATTTCCCTGATAATGAGTGATGTTGAGCATCTTTTCATGTGTCTTTTGGCCATTTGTATGTCTTCTTTGGAAAAATGTCTGTTCAGGTCTTCTGCCCATTTTTTAATTGGTTTTTTTTTTTTTTTGTATTGTAGAAGTTCTTTATATTTGGGTATTAACCCCTTATCGTATATTTTATTTGCAAATTTCTTCTTCTATTTAGTTGGTTGCCTTTTTGTTTTGTTGATGGTTTCCTTTGCTGTGCAAAAGCTTGTTATTTTGATGTAGTCCCTATCAAAATACCGACACTATTTTTCATAGAACTAGAACAAAGAATGCTAAAATTTGTATGGAATCACAAAAGACCCCAAATAGCCAAAGCAATCTAGAGAAAGAAGAACAAAGCTGGAAGTATCGCAACCCCAGATTTTAAGATATACTACAAACCTGTAGTAATCAAAACAGGATAGTACTAACACAAAAGTAGACACACAGATCAATGGAACAGAATAGAGAGCCCAGAAATAAACCCATGCTTATATGATCAATTAATCTGTGACAAAAGAGGCAAGAATATACAATGGTGAAAAGACAGTCTCTTCAACAGATGTTGCTGGACAGCTAGCTACATTGCGGAGTAATGAAATTGGACCACTTTCTTACACCAGACACACAAAAAAACTATGAGACCCGAAACCATAAAACTCCTAGGAGAAAACATAGATAGTAATTTCTTTGACATTGACTGTAGAAACAGTTTTCTAGATATAAAAGTATTTTTTATTTTAATTTCTGATTGTTCATTGCTAGTATATAAAAAGATTCAATTTTTATGTGTTTACTTTAAATCCTGCAATTTTACTATACTCAATTATTAGTGCTAGTACTTTTTTTGTAGATTTCATAGGATTTTCTACATCATCAGCTAATAAAGATAGTTTTCCCTCTTCCTTTCTGATCTGGATCCGCCTTTTATTGCTTTTTTTTGCTTTACTACATTGACTAAAATTTACAGTACAGAGTTAAATAGAAATGGTGAGAACAGACCATCCATACCTTGTTCATGATCTTAGAGGGAAAGCATTCAATCTTTCATCAAAAACTGTTTTTATAGTAATATTAGTTAAGGGTTGAATCCTAGATTCCATCTAGACTCTCTTGTAAGAAATGGAATAATAATTATGAACCTTCAAAGTAATTAATAAAAAGGATGGTTTGAGATCATCCTTTTTTGTTATTATAACTTTTTGTTAATGTTATCTTACAAGCCTGTGAAATTTGTTTTATGTTTTTTGTTTAGTTCTCTGATTTTTCTTTGCATTTGTTTCTTGGCTGTATGAGTTTTCTCTTGTTCCAGTTGAGGGGTGTGAGTTTAAATTCCTTTCTACCTGCATATGATACATTTTTATGCTTTGAAAAACAAGGATATTTCATAATAGACTGAGCCTGAATAGGACATATAAGATATTTAATATTGAGGAGGTTTAGTAACATTTTTGACATTTTTAATGAAAAATCTTATTTTAGTTACCATAGCATCAGCACCTCTTTAAATACCTCCACTAATTTAATTTAAATCAAAACACTCTCAAAAGTTCACCACCAGGATCTTAACTTGTGGACCCTCTTGAACTTTTCAAATTTCTTAAGTAATGACAAGCATTCAGATACATTTGTTTTTTTCTATTTTTAATATCCCTGGAACACAAGTTGGCAAGGATTTCTTCATAAACCTCTCTCTGTTCTGTTCACCTAATTCAGCAGTGTAGCCAGGAATCCTAATAAGTTTCTGCAGGAGCATTTTTGAAAGCCTAATTTTTTTCTGTCCGTTGGTCTGGAAAATCCCGTTTCTCCATATTAGAACTGAAATAACTAAAAAGTGAGAGGCTTATATAACATATTTAGGAAAGGGTACAATGTGTGTGTGTGTGTGTGAGTTACATGTTTCAAAAACATGGTCTAAGTGTACATATGAGGTTAATTCCTCCGTCACTCACCTGATTTATTGACATAACATTTTCTTTATCCAGGCCTTTCCTAACAAGCTCAGTGACAGAGGTCAATCCTTTGTCAACCCTTTATCTTTTTATTAATTATTTATTTAAATTTTTAAAATTTAAATTCAATTAGCCAACATGTAGTACATCTTTAGCTTCAGATGTAAAGTTCAGTAATTCATCAGTTGCATATAAAACCCAGTGCTCATCACATCACGTGCCCTCCTTAATGCCCATCACCCAGCCCTTTATGCCTGGATAAAAAAAGATCCATTATTTTAGGGCACCTTTCTTTTCCTTTTGATGTTACTGTGAAAGGTTTCTCTCATAAACTGTGAAAGGATTTCTTATCTTTATTAATCATTGAAGTTCCTTCATAATTCTTATGGTTCTTACGAAAATGCTATATTGATCCTTACCAAATTAGAATACTTAAAAGTTAATTGGAAAACAGTAAAAGAATCATAGCTTCAATGCTTGAGATTAGTAAGGTTCATTTCCTCCCTTGCCTAGCACCTGACTTGTTTTGGACATGAAATACCAGTACTTGTTATGTTCATCTTTCTCCCATTAAACTAAATGTAGTGATACTATGTTGTATAGTATAGATATCAGATATAACCTTTAATAAATGGAAACTGCTTTGATTTCCTTAAGAGCATATTGGTTGAGTTTTTTTGGTAAATAAGATAGGAAACTGTTCACTTGAATATTTAGGAAAAAGAATTCTTATTCATTAACATCACAGGACTAAGTTTGAGTGGCTTGGTGTTAGAGGCTCTTTTTGTTAGAAACATATTACAGTTGTATTTCAAAAAAGCAGCTCCATTTTATACAGATGAAAAAGAGAAACATAAAAACACAAAATGGATAATATTTAGACAAATGTTAAATGAGTTCAGAAATTTGCTATAGCATGACAAGAGATATCTGTACTATTAATGAATAGCATGAGTCATTACAACCATTCTTACATACATACACACTTTTCCATTATTTCCCACCTTTTATTTTTAAAAAGATTTTATTTATTTATTTATTTATTTATTTATTTATTTATTTATTTATTTGTGAGAGAGAGAGAGAGAGAGAGAATGAGAGAGCACAATCAAGGGGAGCGGCAGGCAGAGAGAGAAGCAGGCTTCCTGCTGAGCAAGGAGCCCAATGCGGGGCTCAATCCCAGGACTCTGGGATCATGACCTGAGCCGAAGGCAGACACTTAACTGACTGAACCACCCAGGCATCCATATTACCCACCTTTTAGTTTTAATGTCTTATCCAAGCCCTAAAGACACAAATATGTACAAACATGTGACTTTATTAAATAGGCTTAGACTAGTACATCTTCATGCTTGTTTCAGGTTTCACTGTTTTTAGGGGAAGTTATTCCAACTTACTTTTATCTCTTAACATCTTCCATAAGTCATCCAGAAGGTTCTTTTTTCAAACAAGCTCAGTCCTTTTGTATATAA